TATTTTGTGACATTGTGGTGAAATCAGACACTTGTCATGGGTGGTTGGTGGGTGCTCTGGTGTGGTTTGCTTCTTCTTTCCTATCATACATCTATCATCTTTATCTCCCCTCCTTCTTTTTTGTGTTTGTTACTCTCTTGTAGCAATCTTCTAATCTTCAGCACTTATATGACCTTATTGTGTTGCAAGTGCCGTAAAACACTTACTAAAACTAAACTGAAACTCAGACATTTGTTAAAATAATGAAATCAAAGGAAAAGACGTTTCCCACCAGTTGGGTAATTTTTTGCGATTTTTGTAGGGGGGTTGCTCAACACCTTTGATGTCTTCATAAAACACATTTCTGTATGGGTTTTTGATGTCTTCATAAAACACATTTCTGTATGGGTTTTTGATGTCTTCATAAAACACATTTCTGTATGGGTTCATAAAACACATTTCTGTATGGGTTTTTACTGAAAAACATTGATCAAAGGCACAAAAAATGTAAATTTGCTGTTTCCAAGGACATTCAGACTTTGGAAGTCACCGAACTTTGGCGGCCATTTTCTTGCTAATTTTTCCTCCGACACCAGACATACCCCCACCTCCTGCTATCACAAACATCTCAACTTCTGTTCAAGGTAGACAGGTAATCTTTTTCTTTAAAATCAAGTCACATGAGCAACTTTAAGATGATACTAACGACTTCATATATAGTTTAGTTTTAGTAGAGCTTTGACAGCGCTCGCAAACTTCATATATAAAAGTTTGTCATTTGACCGTCAATGTTATTCTCTTTGAGAATTGAATTATGAAAGGAAAAACACACCTCAGCCTCGTCCTATGTTAATTTCTCAAAATTGTTAGATCTACTGCTAATCTTCAGTGATTACAAAATGAGGACTTTCTGATGTCAGTGTGTGTGTCTTAAATGTTTTTGATCCTATAATTTCTTTGCTGTCTGCTTCCAGTGTGAAACAGGTGATTGGAGTGGGAGAGGGAGCAGGCGCCAACATTGTGGCCAGATTTGCTGTAAGTCATTAATTTAAATTAACTGGTCATATTTTTCCTTTGAAAAATTCAAATTCTGCACCATCATGATGATTCAACCATTATCAATATACTTGGTCCCTCTCAATGTACTGTCACTCTAATGTCCCAGTACTTTGTTTTTGTCATTCTCACACATACAGACAGCAGCCACCCCCACCCCACCGCCCCCCCCCCCCTTTCTCACACATATTCACACACACACTCGCACACACAAATGTATGCATACACTCACACACACAAATGCATGCGTACACTCCCACTTACTCAGTCACAATTACGTTGGCTTATATATTTATTATAGATCTACAACCTCTTGTTCTCACCAGTGCACTTGTACTCTCCATGCTTGGAATAATAAATCTAAAACTGAACTTAAGTAAATTCTAGAATACTCTTTCCTATCCTGGAAAACAGATGCCATATGAATTTCAAAGTTGTTTCATTACAGAAGTTTGAAATTGCTATTCAATAGTGCCCTTTGTTGCCTATCATTACTTTTCAAATAGGACAGGGCTACACATTACTGTCTCCTTTTACTTTTGCCTTTTTTGCAAAGAGGAATCAGATTGAAAGGTCGCATTTGCCAGATGTGCAGCCAGTGCAGTGCATGTGAAATGAAAAAGGAAACAAAATTGTAAATTCAAATTGGGCAGAGTCACACTGGAGAGGTTTATATAGGCAGGTATCGCAGACTGGCTTTGTAGGTGGGGGGGGGGGGGGGGGGGAGTGTGTCTTGATTTAGAATAATCACAGTGAATTTTGTTGAATGTGGCATTTTGATTGTGTTGTTTTAGATGTAATATGATTGTATGTTTGCAGATGGCACAGCCGGAGCGTGTGTTGGGCTGTGTACTCATCCACTGCACAGGAACCACTGCTGGTGTCATGGAGTCCCTCAAAGACAAGGTGCAGTGCACACTCAGTTTCTGTCTTCTTTCTTACGCTATGGTGTCTCATTGCTAGTGGAGGTCTGAAGTCAGGACCGGAAGAGATTTGTTTTAAAATAGTTGTTTGTCTTTGCTTTAATGGAAGAGAGATGATAGTTTGATACCTTATTTACTCTACTTCATACCACAAATTGGTGTGCTGTGCTCAAGGAAATAAAATGTTCAGAAAATTTGTATGCACGTGCTTTTACATGATTTCAAACATAAGATTTTTAATAGTGGGTCATACTTTTAACCTGACAATTAGTTATTTTTCTTTTATCTTACTTTTTCCTTGCCTTAATTGACTGTTATTGTATCCATGTGATACTCTTTGGATTCCTTTCTGTACACTTGGTTTAGATCAATTTTTTTCTTTCTCTTTCATCTGTGTGTCCGTGTCTCAGGTGATGAACTGGAAGCTGGAGCAGATTGGCATGAACCCCTCAACTGAAGCCTACCTCTGCCTGCATCGCTTTGGCTCTGTAAGTTGATTTCCAGTGTTTCCACAGCTCAGAACCTGGCATTGGTCCTCAACATTTATGTGTAAATTCCAAGTGTCATTACTAGTAATGTGTTTATGACATCCTGTCCCTTGTTTTTTTCCATTTTCAGCTGGTATAATTTTTTAACTTTCATGTCCTTTGTTTTCTACATGAGCAAGGTAGTTCCGGTCTGAAATACTACAGTTTTCCCACGAATAACCCTAAAGGTCATTGACAGGGAAATTTTTGGTTTGTGGTTTTACTTTTTTAGTGGGAATGCTCATATAGTCATGACTGCCCTTAACCTTTTTATTCTGGTCCCCTCTCACTTCCCCTCACTATTTCCCCCAGTTTGGTGAGGTTTTATGAAAATCATTGTTATTCTCCCCTGATCTGTTTTTGTTCTAATTTTCATATTTTATCAATGGGAATGTGATATGATTGAAGATGGGGTTTTCTGGGCTGAATGGGGGAACTGAGGTGGGGAATATGTTGGATTGTGTGCAGGTCAGTGTTGTTTTGGCTTCATTTAGAGAAAGTATCGGTCAGAGGTGACTGGACTTGTTCCTGCCCGTCTATTGTCCTTTGTGACCATATGTGGTCTGGTAGCTGCTTGCTGTGACGTATTGTTGCTTGCTGTGTAGGTGTGTGGCCAGATGTGTGTGTGTGTGTGTGTATGTGCGTGTGAATGAAAAATGTATGTGTAAGTGTGTGTGCAAATGTGTGTGTGCTACTTTTTGCTTTGTGACTGGTTCAGAATGTGTTGTATTTTGCAACTTGTGTAGGACAGTTGGCATCTCAGTGCATCAGAGCAACTACAGGAGCCAAAGTTGTTACTTGACTAATGTGTGGTTATGTATAAAAATGAAACCTTTCCTTCAAAGCCTGATGAATCCCATCTTGAGATTGTAAAGTTACTTCAAGTGTTTTGTTATGATTTGTGAGAAAGGGGATATGTTTTAATGAGAGGTTCAGCCTCAGGGTTAGCATGGTGAAATTATTTCAGCTCTCGGGAAGTTTTTAAGTCCCTGCTCTAGGGTTTTTCAAAGAAGGTGAGGATGTTAGTAACTAAAGTGAGACATGGTATGATTGTATCGAGAGGAAATTCATATTTTTAACGAAAAGGAAAATCAGTTAATGTGTGTTGGCTAAAATTAACCAAGCACTCTAAGGTGAAGGGCCTTGTAATATTCTGGGGATCTGTATTATTTTTTAAGTTTCTTCATGACTGGTTTTTATTCCGTAGAGAGTATTTAGCACAGTTGTGCTGTGTATTTGGTCATGCTCAATGTAATTTTTCCGGAGGGGGTGGAGGGGAGGGTGAGGTCTGATTTTAAAAAAATAGAAATTAAACCCGCTCTGGACAAAAATAGGTCACCGTGAGTTTAAAATAACCTGTCAGCTCTTATTTTCCTTAATGTGATTTGAACAAGGTCTTTGCTTTTGATATAATTACAAGGGATAAATCTGAGGTTCATGCCACTTACAGCAAGGGAATATGACATGGCTATATGTCTCAGAGTCTCAGATGCCGACTACGTATAACAGGGTGCTTTTAGTGTCGTTTGTGGCCAGAGACTAGTGTGTGTGGCAAAACTTGTAGCTGGTTTGTCCTCCTTCGTCCGCTCACCTCTCAGCTCTCGTGTGGCTTTGATTGTAAGTGTGGTGACAGAAAAGCTGGAAGATGTGGTCATTTGCATGTGACCTACTTTGAATCATATACTTCAGTATCTGTATGTAAGTGTGTGTGCTTTTACTCTGTAGGAGTATAATTTTGTGTTTATGTATTTAGTGTTTAGTGTATTTATGTGTGTGGTGTGTATGTTTCTGAGTGTATGTTTTTCTGCCACCGTGTTTGTTTCTGTGTTTGTATGTTAATAGAAAAAATGCCTTTGTGTGGGAGCGCCAGATTTTTCACAACTTACGGGTCTTTTCATTTTGGATTCAAAATATTCAGAAATTTTATTTTGTGCTGAAGTCTCAAAGTTCTGGAATAATAATCTTGCTTTTCCAGTTATGATTTTGCTGATGACTAAAGCAATTGTTTTTCATCTTCAACTCAGCAATATAGTCTGAAAGAAGATTGTCTTAGGAAAAGTTAACCTTAATGTACCCCTCCTCTTTCCGTCACACAATGGGAAGGATATGGAATGATTTTGTAAATCGTCTCTCATTTAGTCTACTGAATTGAGTGATGCAGGACTCTTGGATACTTTATAGCAGGGTTCAGTTAGTGACATTTGTAGTTTGCGCGTCACTTCTTGCCGATTTGGAGGCTGATATCTTTGTCTTGTTCTGTTTTGGTTCTTGTCTTCTCACCCAGTTGGAAGCAGATGAAATGACTACATTTACCTTTTATATCCATGTCCTTTCAGAGTCTATGCATCCAAAGCTCTTGTTTCATGGAGTCTCAGAATTCTACAGGTCATTTTTTCCAATGTTAACTTTTGTCACAAGTTTTGATTCCAAAGTATTTAATGAAAGATTTTCTCGTTGATGTGAGTGATTTTTTTTCTTGCTTTTCACTTAATGTTGCTCAAATTCTTCATACGTCCAGATCACTGTATGGAGAAAATATCCATGAATTATTCAGTCTTGTTGCCAGTTCTTTCATAAATAAAGTAGAATTTAATGTGAGAGCTAAAGCCAGGTTGCTATTTCTGCAGATTGTATGAAGCATGTCTATGTAACTTCAACCTTTAATTTACCTCTTGATTATTTACACAGTTATAATATAAAAGCTTTATGCGTGGCACAGCTTTGGATATATTTCTATGAAGACCCAGTCACTCTTTTTTTATAGTGAGGTTTGAACATCCTGTGGTTTCTTTGTCTAATGTTTTGTCAGTGGTTTATGTGCAATAGCACTGCAGATTTTCCAGTCGTTTTACCCTTTCTTCTTTTTCATTAGTGTTTATTTCTTTCTGTTTTTCTACTCTGTGGCACTTACAGAAATCGCATTTTATCATCATTGGTCTTGAATAACAATTCAAGTTGTGACAGCATAACGCAGGGATAAATGCAGTTCACTAGAGCTATGTGCTGGGAGTAAAGCATTAGGGTACGTCCAAAGTTTGACTTTGGATGTGAGGCTTGAACTGAAAGGTCAGGTCAGCAATATGTTGAGAACATTAGGTAGAGCCCATGAGAGAAAATACAATTTTATTGTGGGTGGAAGAATGGCTGACTGTTGTTTCATTGGTGTATGAATGAATTGCTCCGGTTTGCTTTTGTTTATTCAAACACACTTATGTTTGTTCTGCTTTTAAGTTTGTATGTACATGTACTAAATCATTTATTGTGCCCCTGAGCATGCATGTAGAGAATGGTACATGCATCATGATTGTGTCAGTGTTGAAATTCAACTGCCAGGGTTTTGGCTTTGGTCTTTATCTGTGCTGCTGTATATGTTGTGGTCATTTATCTGGCCACTGAGAGCATCATGCTGCTGAATGCTAGTCTTTCCCCACAGCTGAGAGAAGCCAAGGAGCTCCAAGTTGGCAATCATTTATCTTATCCTTATTATTTTGTACAACTTGCGCAGAACCACGTAAAAAAACATGCTATAATATTTCATGATCAAAGTAATCATTTTAAAGGATTTCCTTCTTGTCCTTGGGAGACTTGAAACAGAAAACATACATGCAGATTGTAGTTCATTCAAAGCCACTTTCAATTGTCCTAATTTACTGTCTAACTTCTAATATTCAGTGAGAAACCACTGGGATCTTTAAAAATCTAATTTAAGGCACTGCTGGTCAACTCAAGTTGGACCCTTTATCCCAGATGCTTTTTTCTTATCATTGAATGACACACAGAAAAAAATATTCCCACAGCATTGAACTTACATATTTTAAAATTTTGCAGAGTTTCAGCATTAGTTTTAAGAGCTGCACAACTCTACACACGTTGGTCTCTCTTTTAAGATTCTGGAGATAGAACGTTTCTGCCTGCATGGAGTAGCGCGAGCCACTTTGAGCATTTTGCTGTATCATGTCTCATTCTTGTGTTCTCTCTTTCTTCCCATGCCCCTCCTTGTCCTATCCCCTGACCCACATCCCTCCCTCACCCTATTGCCCACTCCTCCCCCTCCTCCATATACTTTGTATGTTGACGGTGTGCCGGATAGGCCACGCCTGAGGTAATGTACTCTGTTTGGTTTTGTGGACTAACTGTAGAGCCTCAATGTCCAGGTCAACTCCGAGATGGTGTACAATAGCTAGTTTTAGGCTCCTGTGTACTGCACTACCACCACTAACCCCTGTATGTTTTCCTGGAGTACTTTCGCCTGCCTCTCTGCTGTGTGTAGCTAGCAACTAACCCAGGACTGCGGTGTTAGCGTATTGTTTGCACCCATCCATATCAGAGGCACCTCTTACCTTCTGGTATGGTCCACTATATCCTGCATGTACAACGTGGACGTAATGGTAGGGGTCTCTTACTTTTGCTTTAGATAATGTTAGATGTTTGCTGTATGTTTATCACATCTCATTTGGTAAAAGTAGTGTAAGTCTTTTGTCTATGTTGACAAGTGTTTTAGTACCATGTCATGTAACGAAGTCGTTAATTTTCCTCTCTTTTTTATTGTATAATTTTTGCAGCAAGAATGAAAAACGAGAAAAGGATCCCATTACAATAATATTTGAAAAGAAAGCATTGCACACTTAATGTTACAAGTGCTATTTACTTTTGGCTTATGTTTGAACAAGTTTGTTAAAAAGATGGCTGTCAGTATTTTTTAATGATCATACCTTGAGGTCATGAAATGAAATTATTTTTTTTCCTGACATGTTTGGAACTTGGATCATGCACAACTTTATTTTCATTATAAAATAATAAGACTGTTGTGAAATTATTCTATTGCTGTCATATTTTACCGGTATGCATGGGACAGGACTACTGTCTTGTTTCTAGTTTCGCACCCTGTAAGGTATATGAATATATTCACCTTTTTCACCATGCTTCACAGATACAGAAAGATCAGTCTTGCAGAGTGAAAGTAAATTCTGGGCTAATGTTCACTTACAACACAAGTGTTGATGTGCTTGTAACTTTACTTTGTTGACTCAGTAGAATAAATCTTGATTTGTCAGCAGGTGATTTTGGTCAAGAAGGGTGTCAAAAAGCCTTGATATGACCAGTTCTTTTCTTTTCCTCCGTTCTATTATGTCTATCTGTCTTGCTTTTTCTCTGCACTAATTAGCCATTGAAATGTCTGTGTGTTTCTCAAAAAAATAGAAACGAACAAAAATATTTCTAAGGGATATTCTGACCTGTGTTCTAAGCTCCGTGACTGTTTATATGCTTCATACAGGCAGATTCAACTGGATTCTTATTTATACAGTTCGGCCAAAACTGGGCAACCACCATTCATTCTTACATATGATGCTTGCTTTGACTAGTGGTCATCCATAGAAAAGTACAATAATTTACAGTTCATACATGTGACATGCAATTTACAACAGTGTATATAAGTTCGTCGGACTTGTATTCAAGGCATGAATCCAACACGTTTGATGGCTGGTTGAGAGTGCACATAGCAGTAACAAACAAACCACTCAGTGATGGAGGTGGAATACATGGCTGCCATCTGATTTGCCAAAATTTAGAACTAGATGAGGGCTATTCCACGGTAATTAATGGGACGTTTGGACTGTACTTTCTCACAATGATAACTCTGTAATTCAGTATAAATGATTTATTTCAACTTTAAATAATCTGAACATTTGAAAGACATATTAAGAATCATATTTAATGCAGTCATTTGAAAATAATGTAGGCCTACTTCATACAACTTCTGTGACATGTGTAGTTTCGGTAACTAGCGGGACAAGTACATTATTTTTTCCTTTCCCTTCAGTTAAAGTGGAATAGCCCATAATTATACAACCAGTCTCTAGTACATGATGGATTATTTTTTTCCTTTTTTTATTATGTTCCCATGTTGTTTAAGCAAGTTTGTCAAAAAGTTGGTTGTTTTATGGAGAATTCGCATATCGAAGACCAGTGTCTTAGAAAAAGTATTTGTATTTTTTCCTTGAAGTAGACATGAGTTCAAGTGATCACCTTTGGAGGTGGTCGAAAGGACTCATTTTACTTCACTAATACCTGCAACATTAAAATGGGAGTACAATAACTTACTGAACTCTCACTCTTGATTTCTATTGTTTTTCTCCAACATCGGTTGTGTTTAAATGCCGACTTTATCAGTATAGCATTCTCAAATAGGTGCTGTCTGGAAACAGTTTTTTTATTGGTCTATACCTGTCTGTTTTAACAGCTGCTCATACGAAAGGTAGCAAGCACTTTTCGGAAGAAAGGGGAAAGTTAACTTTGTAACAAAATTTTAATTCTTGTCCTAGACTCGAGTGTTTTACAAGAGTCTCTATGCAGTAAACCGTTTTCAACTCATGGTATTTTGAAAATTGATATTACAGCTGATTCAGTCCTAGAACTGGTGTCAAGCAATAAATGTAACCTAAAGATGTTCCTTATGTTGTCTTGCTGTTTCGAACATCAAAGTCTTGTTTTTTTGTTAGGCCTACTTTGTTACATGTGTTTCTGACACGTGGAACACTTTTGTCTGTCAAATATTTTTACTTCATTTTTGGATAATTTTTTAAACTTTCTTCTCTTTTTCTTTGTTTTTAAAGTCTGTCTATATCATGTGTTTTGAATCAAGTTTGACAGTATGTCAGCAGTACCTTAATGGTACGTTTTTTAAACTATGTTTCTTTGCTTTTTGTTGATGATTATTTTTTAAAAATTAATGTAAAACACCATGAAATCCTTAGGCTCAGGGAGAAGCTGGGGGCCAGGGTCATAGAGATAAGAGGGGTAATTTTATTTAGTTAAATTTTGTTTCATACAATAAAGTTTTGGGTGTAGTAATTTTGTAAAATATCTAAATAGAGATTGGATGCAGTGTCTCGAATGAGATGAGGCACGGTGGTCCTGTGCCTTTCTTGTACAGCTATTCCCTCTGAATATCTTTTCTCTTCACAATTATCAAAGCCCTTCCACTGTATTCATTCCAAGAGCTGAACTTCTATTTTTCCTTAAATGCTTCCCCAGGCAAGTGAAACCTGTTGGGAAGTGCAATGATGTTTTAGCGCATACTGAACTGTGCTTTTCCAAAGTATTTACCCAAGATTATTGTGCCTCTACAATTTTTTCCCAAAATCTTCATAAATCTTCATCTGAAACAATCTGAACTGGAGACATAACCAACACTTGCCTATTGCTCAAGAACTTCCTTACTCTCTTTTTGTATCTTTCTCTAATCCATCTCCTCGTTTCTTCCCCATCACCCTGTGTCTGTCCTTTTTTTTTCATTTCTTTTTCTTCGTCCTGTTCTTTATTTGCCCAAAATGCTAAATTAAATAAAGAGACAGTTTTTGTCAACAGCTGATGGCATTATACCCTGACACTTTGTTTGAGTCTATAATATTATTGGAGTGCTTACGAACTTCACAACTTCTGTTTTGTCAACTCAAGTTTTACTTAAGTTTTCTTACCGTTGACGTGAGGGGTGAATGCTTGTTTTGTTATTTTACACCAGATGCAGTTTAATGGTACGTCGGATATCAATATCTTTGCAGTTGGTAGCCGCACATATTTTATTTCTGATATATATATATATATGGGAAGCAGCGTAGTGAAATCAGGCGCTCGTCAAAATAATGAAATCAGAGAAATCGTCATTTTTCTGGCCGTTGGGTATTTTTTAAATCAAATTTTATATTTTAACTAAACACTTTTTATGTGTATTTAAAAACACGTTTCATTGTGGTTTTTCCAGAAAAACCTTGATGAAAGGCACATAAAATGTAAATTTACAGTTTCCAAGAACACTCAAGCTTTGGAAATCACCATGCTTTGGCCTCCATTTTCTCTCTAATTTTACGTTTGACATCAGGCGACCCCCACTTTCTTTAATTGCAAATATTTATACTTCTATTAATATAGATAGTATATTTTTTGGCCTAATGCTGGACAAATGAACCAGCTTTAAGATGATAATAAAGATAATAATAACTCCATATGCCTAAAAATTTACAAGCGCCTGATTCCACCATGTTGTGACACATATAGTATTGTTTAGCTTGGATAATACTCAATATAGTTTAAATTGCCATCATACAGGTGTGGCATTATGTTTTATAGATAATCAAGCTTACAATTTCCTTTTTTGAAAGAAGTGGAATTATAAGTGATCAGTAAAACGTATTAATAGCGAGCACTTTCTGCAGTGCTTATTATACCTCATGCTTTTTTGGGGGGTCTATTTTACTCTAAAAAATGTAAGACTGTGTGATTCTGTGAAGCTGAATAAACAAAACTTGATTTGAATTTCACTTCAAAGAGCTAGTAGGCCTACACTGATGCCCAGGACTATATCTTCAAGCAATAAGATAGACTTATAGTTTAACAAACATGTAGAATATTTGAAGTAAAGCAACTCCCAATCCTTTATTGTTGAATATGCAACAGTATTTATGCCTTTTTGTGGGAGTTGAGTTTAATTAACTCAACTCTCTAAACCCTGAGTTTTTTTCCACCGTTTCCAAGAGTTTTTGCTACAGTCACCTAAGCCTGTTGCACTATGTCTCATTATTACCCCAAAAGTGTGCCTCCAACTTCTAAATAGCGGAAACAAATATTTAGTCATTACTAAAAGACTTGGTTTGGGAATAGTTAGAAAAACAAGCAAAAACTAGCTCTAAATAAAAAGAAAATGTCGTCACTAGTATCAGACGCTCCCAGCGTTCGATGGGGAGCAAGGTTATTACCCCTGGACATTCCCAGCGTCCATTGGGGTTTAAAGAGTTAAATTTCTAAATTTGTATGTATAAAAGATTAGTAAGAAATTTACCACAAATATTCAACGTACATTGTCCGTTTGATACAGTCAGCGGCAGGCAGATTTTTCTTTCACGGAGGTACAAAAGCACCCATTTTGGTTCACTGTGATAAATCCTCCAAAATTATTTACGTTTTGATTTTGCATGTCATAGATTTGGTATGTCTGATAGCGGCCAATCAGAATGCTACTACGCTTCGTGGAGTCAGATCTTTTGAATGCGATAAGCTCTAATAGACTTTTAGGTCAAATTTGATTAAGCAAAGCAGAGGTCAAATTTGCCATAGTATAGGCCTACCATTAACTGACGCGCCCACAAAAGTGTCAGCTGTGTCAAGTGGGCAGTGTGTTCTAGGTATTTAGTAGGTTTCTTTTTCACACTTTTGACAATGGCAAAAATACTTTTCTTTATATTGTATGAATTGAAACAGGCCTGTTCATTGCAGTGTTAACTGACTGCTCTCTGAAGGTATTCATCTCGATGGAATTGAACATGTGTGCACACATATTTTGTTCATGTTTTTGCTTACCCAACTGAAAACCTTTAAGTGTCTTGAATTGGTACGCACCATGCGTTTCACATAGTAGAATCTTGCGTATAAGTGTATTCCGTTAGTTTTCTGTCACTTGTTCAGGTGTATTAGTTATCAACCCAAGTAATTGCTCTTGCGGATTCTCTTTTCTGGCTTGTGGTTTATTCTGATATTGTATTGGTATTGTATCATTTCATAGATTGAACTACTTGAGTGTGATTGTATTCAAAAAGTTTTTTTTTTATTCAAAGTAGTTTATTGTTTTAGGACCTAGATGAAGACTGAAGTATTTCTTTATCCAGATTACTGTTTAAATGTTTTGCTCTTATCAATGCCAAGATCAAACAAATATGTATAAAATTCTTTAAAAAACATTTTCTCTTGCCACTGGTCTTAATTGCCAAGAATGTTACCTTGTTAGGGACTGTAAGTTTACGTTGCTGAATGACAAAACAAATGATGTGAATTTGCTTTGCATTATGCCTCATGTGTATAGTTTGCATGGACAGGCTATGACCTACTCTGTTTGTAACGTATAGAATGCTGGATATGGCTTCTTGCATGTCTCTTTTGTAGGCTTTGACACTGTGTAATGGTGTTATACTTTTTTCATGGATATTTCATTTTGGATTTCAGTTTGAGAAAGCTGAGAACAAAGAGCAGCTGACACGTGTCATCGAGTTTTTCCAGCAGTCACTAAGGTCAAAGATCAACCCCAAAAACCTCAAGAGATTTGTGCAGGCTTTCATGAAGTAAGATCATTTTACTCTCTTGTCTTGCATTTATAGCAATAATCTGTGAAAACGATGTAATTTGCCATGTAATTTGCCTTACCACTCGCTGAAGTCTATTTTTGTTAGATATTTTAAGGGAGTTATTGAAGTTACACAATAACAAATTTGCTGCTTTTTACAGGTAGTACAAAGTATTCGAGTTTCCGTAATCTGAATTTTAGATAAAAAGTTAAGTGGTAATCTGAGAACGCACGACCACTAGTGAAAGACATCCTGCGAAGAAATTATCAAAGGCAAAATTTAATCTGCATTGATATCTCAGAAAATACAGTACTGTAAAACTTACGTCATTCCTGCTAGGTACCGGAATATTTTAATGTTTATTTTCAGTGTCAATGTTCATGTGGAGATTACAGTTTGTAAATTCAATTTAAAAATTGTGTCTTGCAGGAGGTCAAACATCGCAGAACATGTCAACAAATTCAAGTGAGTGTTTTCAGTCGTGATGGTTCTTGCAAAATGTATCAGATTGAATATTTATTTATGCACTAGAGATCGGGGGACATTTAAAAAAAACAAAACAAGCTGACATCCTTTTCATCATTAAGCTCTGCAAAGATTGATACAGGGTGTCATTAAAAACTGAACCCAGTTAAATGGCAATGATTATTTTAACAAAATTGGAGCAAATTACATTCAACAAAAGGACATGAAATCTGTTTATATAATAAAGAAAATCTGTCAACTTCCTTCAATAAATACCAAGTTTTCAAAATTCAATAAAAATTGAATGTGTGTAGTTCGTGCCTATCTCTGGCAGCTAGTTCACAAGCTTAGTTGCTCGGCAAATTTACATTAGTTTATTTAGGTACCTATAACTGAAGGTGTTGGCAGATGGTGGTTTAAAGGGGTAAATAGTAGGCCTATATTTATATAGGTGATCCTTTTCGTGCATTGTCAAACCTTATGGTAAGTTGATCCGGCTGTATAACAGGGTTTAACTGTACCTACATTATGTATTTTTTCTTGGGGTTTTTTCCCTTTAAGAATTTAGATTTCAACAAAATATTTCTTGAGCATATGCAAATGATATCACAAATTAAGAAACTGCAGTAAAAATCATTTCAATGTTCTGGGATTAGTGCACCTGGACAGCTGGTTAACGATATGAACTTCATATGTGTAATATCTTTACTACTGTTGTAGATACCATAAGAAGTAACAAAGGAAAGACATACTATCTCACCTATTCCTGAAATGATTTGAAATGATGGTACCATACAATAGATTTTCTGTGAAATTTCATCACAGTTTCACTCTCTACAGTTGTTAAATAAAGAATTATTTAATCTCAAAGCACTTTTTATTCATGTCCTAGAAATTTGATGTAATACATTGAAAGTTCAAGCAAGGGAAATACGACTTTGTGAAAGGGCCTTGACCTGCTTCTGATATTAAGACCGGGGAATTATAGTGACTCGGGAAAGGGGAATAAATGCTTTGCCAGGGGCACTGAGCTGAAATGTTAAGTGAGAAAGAATATGAACATTTCAATTTTTTGGGTAAATTTCTGCCATTCATTAATATGCTCCTGTGAGAGTTGACGAGTTTGTTTTGGAATTTGGGACAGAAACAAAATGGAATATTGGATTTTTTAAATAGGATCAGACAGTGAAGGATCTTAAAGCAGAACATTGTGCTTGTCAAAATGTTTCAAATATATTAAATTGTCAGGGATCGGGATCTCTTTAGGAACGAAGATACGGGTTGAACAAAGTAAACTGATCGATTTCTGGTTCTGAAATGCATACTTAGAGTTATATTGACTTTGAAATGATAAAGAGAAAATGGACACAAATTTTTACAGCTCTGAGCTCATTTTGTCTTTGTACATTTCAGTAAACAATCCCCCCGCCCCACCCTATTCTCCCTTTATTAACACTAGGAGAGGCAACAAACAAAATGGGTAAAACAAATTATAGCTTGTTCGTTTTTGTCTGACAGGGGTTAAAACATGGTAAAATGAAATCATTCTGTTGAATCTTTTCTGAACTTGCATCAGGGGCTAAAAGTTTGATAAACAGCAGAATTTAAAAGCCCATTCTTAAAGGTCACTGTAAACTAAGGTTTTGATTTGTTTCCTTTGATGTTAGCTTAAGGTGAGTCAAAAATTGAGATTTACAACATACATCACAAACACTAAAAAGTTGACATACTTTCCTCTACACGACTCTTTAACATATGCTTAAGAAACATGGTCCAGAAGACAAGGTGAGTAATTTTCGAGACTGGAGACGTCTATCCAGTCATGGGATGAAATCTACAAGCTTACAATACGGGCAGGGTGGTGTCGCTGTCCCAAAATGAGCAATTTGTAGGCTACGTTACTGTAAGTCATTTATTTTAGTGATCCTGTGTATGCATCCAAAGAATGGTTTATAATGTAGGGCCCAAAGAGAAATACTTTTTTGTTACTCGATCAAGGTTTTTTCACAAAATATTTTTTGGGTAGCAGGCATGCAGAATTGCCATGCAAAGTTTCCAAAGTTTTGTGGGCATATGTAAATTAATAAATGAGCTAGAATTTTTTCAAAGCAGACAGATGAAAATGAACAAGCTAAAATAAAAATTTTGATGTTAAAGTTGTGCAAAATTGCTCTTTATAGATGCCGAGTTCTGATGGTCACTGGTTCCAAAGCGTCCTTCAACCACACGGTGCACAATTTGTTCTCCCGTATGAGGGAACGACTCGACAAACAGGACTGTGAGATCCTGGAGGTGGATGGAGTAGCCAACGTGCTGGAGGAGAAGGTGAGGGAGAATATGTCTTGTTCGGGTGACTTTTGTGAGTGCTGGTTTGAGGTAAAGGGAGGTCAGATTGATAGAACTAGATGAGGTAATGTTGTGAGAGTTGTGAGAGTTAAGTGGGATGAACACTTGTGCAATATGACTAATGACAGATTGATAGAACTAGATGAGGTAATGTTGTGAGAGTTAAGTGGGATGAACACTTGTGTAATATGACTAATTGTGGGTTTTTTTTAGTTTTTAATCATTTGGTAGAATCCGCTTTGTTTTTTGTGGAACAAGTGAATTTAGTTGGGTTTTTTAAGATTGTGTGAAACAAAATTTTTGTGTTTGCTAGGTGTTGCTTATTATTGGGTCTGGCATGCAGCCTTATGGGCAACCATGAGGAAATATAACATCAACGCCAACCTGATCAACGTCATACAACAACTATATGACAAGGCCTCCAGCACAGTCTACCTTAACAGCAGCATGGGGGATTGGTTCAGGACAACGGTTGGGGTGAGGCAAGGCTGTTTGCTCTCTCCCACTCTCTTCAACATCTTCCCAGAACGAATCATGACTGACACTCTGGAAGACCACAATGGAACAATCAGTATTGGAGGCAGGAGGCACTAACTTGCGTTTTGCCGATGACATCGATGGATTAGCAGAAGAACAGGAGCTCGCTACACTAGTGGAGCGGCTTGACACAACCTCAGCAACCTACGGCATGGAGATCAGGGCCAACAAAACCAAGCTAATGACCAATAACACCAATGGCATCAACGCGGACATCAAAGTCAAGGGTGAGAAACTTAGACCGTCGACAGCTTCAAATACCTCGGATCAATCATCTCAGATGAAGGCTCAAGACCAGAAATTCTCTCCAGAATCGCGCAAACAACAGCTGCGCTGTCAAAATGAAGCCTATTTGGAGGGACAGAAACATCACACACAACTCAAAAATTAGACTAATGCCCTCACTGGTCATCTCAATATTTTTATACGCCTGCGAGTCGTGGACACTAACAGCAGAATTAGAGAAAAAGATTCAGACCACAGAGATGAGATGTTACCGCAGACTCCTTGACATGTCGTACAAAGACCACGTTTCAAATGCTGAAGTACGAAAGAGAATCACCAACGCAGTGGGGCAATATGAAGATCTACTGACCACAGTGAAGAGACGAAAACTAAAATGGTATGGGCATGTCACAAGATCCACAGGACTTGCCAAAACAATCCTGCAAGGAACCGCACAAGGAAAGAGAAAGAGAGGAAGGCAGAGAAGGAGATGGGAGGACAACATTACAGAGTGGACAGGAAAGACGATGGGTGACAATCTGAGGAAAGCAGAGGACAAAAATAGATGGCGAGAGCTGGTTTTCAGATGCAGTGGTGCCCCCACGGTTGCCCCAACCACGGGATAGAAGAAGAAGAAGAAGAAGAGCTTATTAGGAAAAATCTGTGTTACTAAAAACATTTCACATTTAATAATAGTGGAAATGGTCTGATCATCTTAAAAGATAGTATACAGGATTCATTTTATACTTACACCTTAACTGCTCTTTCTGTATTGACATGGTGTTGATGTTTAGACCAGACCCGTCTGTTTGTTCCCCATTTTTTCCCTATTGGATTAGTTACTAAAGTCATGACTGAGATGGAGGTAGCTGTGCATTTGACATTTCATTACTGTTGTCCTATATCTTCAATACCTGGAATGTTTTACTGAAAGCAATTCCTATCACTGCTAGGTTTCTGGCATATTTCCATTTGACTATTCCAGGATAAAGAAAGGTGGAAGGTGTTTGTCCGTGGCCTATACCCTGGTGTAGGGTTAGAAAGGCAATGATGATGATGATGATAATGTTAATATTAACAAAGAGAAAACCAAGGATGACGGCTCTTCTGGAAGATGAGAAGTGTTTATACAGTAGTCTCTGCTTAACCTTATCCGTAAATTGTGTTTTACTATCGTATCCATACAACGTGGGGAACTCTGTGCCACCACTTTTCAAAGAGGAAATTTACTCATTAATCCGATCCGTATGCTTTGCATAGCAGTCTGTCAAATTGATTTTTTGAGAAATACTGAAAGTGCCAAAGAGATCTTCGTACTAGAAGTATTCTTAAGTGTGAATAATACAACCCCAGGGGTACAAAATGACCCCAGGGGTGTACAGATAGGGGTAAGATCCCACCGTTTATGATCCCAGTTCACTTAAGATCCCGCTGTTTTAAGAAACCTAATTTTTACCACACAAAAGTCACTCATAAGATCCCACTCTGAAGGTCTACATTCAGCTAAGATCCTGTATTTCCGGTCATAATTAACAGAACAAAAATGTGGGCAGGCACAAAATATCAATCAAGTGTGAAAATTTAGAAAATTTACCATCATTTTACTGACCTTTGCGTCACAGATCAGCCACTCTCTTGAATGTTATCATATGTCCTCTGTAAATTTAGATGAAATGCTACAATATTTGCCCCTGATGGGATCACACTGAGGTGTGAACTGGCCGACTTATTTGTTTCCCCCACACATCGCACTGGCATCTGAGCTCTCACCTAAACTTACGTCACATGCTGGGTGGGTAGGGCCTACGAGTTCGCTTCAGGGGAGATCACATCGAACTGTTACCTCTTCCCTCACCATTGCAGCAGTTGTCCCTACTCCCAAATATGCGAGACAGACTGAATTTTAATTGATGGGGTCATGGCACAATGGTGTGTAAAGACAAAGGTGGGGGGAAAACTCGGTCAGAGATGGAAAGCTATAAATTGTGGACAAGGGGAGGAGCAAGTGGATAAGGGTAGATATTTGCTTGCCGTAAGTCATAAACCCATCCAGTGGTCACATCAGGTCATTCTACAGTAAAGGGAGACCATTTTACTGGCTGTGGGCCTAAACATGAGTCACCGTGGGTTCTCCCCTTGGTGCATTGGCTAAGATCCCATTCGCCTAAGATTCCACATTTTCCTTGCTCCCAAGCACCGGAATCTAAGGCAGAGACTACTGTATTTGCCTGCAGTAGGACAACATCATCCCAAACTCTTGATGTCTATTTTCAACACAAGCTGAAGAGGGTGTTGCGTATTAAGTGGTATTTTGGATAATAAAGAGCCAGACGTCGAGTCTCAAACTCAAAGTTCATTGGGACCCAGGACTAAAGTATGTTTTCTCCCCTGCTGTGAATCACCTGTCTGACATTTATACTGGGGTTGATCACTTGATGGACCCGTAGAATAAGGGTTGTATCTTAATGTATTTTTCAACTGTAAGTCACTATTATATGTTTAGACAGATACTAAGAGATGAAATATTAAAAGGTTGAGAGTGGTCTCTTTGGAATGTCTTTGTGTGGTTTGTGTCTTCTGGATTTTGTCTTTACATTACGAGGGGGTGGGGGAGAAATGTTTGGGTTTTTGAAAAATGAAGATAATTATTTAACAGTGTGAAAACGTGTCCTACCTATTTCCATCTATCAATCGACTTTTCTCCTCTTTTCCATCATCATTGACTACCTCATATGTCTTCTTCCCAGCTCTAGCAGTATGGAATAATAATATTTCATTTGATATCAATACTGCTCATTCGAGCTTTTTTTGTAGGATTTTCTTGAGTGTTGAACAGTAACATATAAATATACTTCTCTTGCAGCCTGAAAGATTTGCTGAGAGTTTGCTGTACTTCTTACAAGGCATGGGATTAGGTTAGTAACTGCTTTCATTTGCTTGCAAAATATTCTGAAAAATTCTTTTATATGTAGGTGAGGTTTTATTAAGCTTATGACTTTATATTGTTTTGCTATACGAATAGTTTTACTTGTATTCGCTTATTCTTTGAAATTTCGACAAGATTGCAAACAGGCTAAAATATTTCTGTTTTGATCAGTATGTAACATTGAAGGAAGATCAGTTACGATTTATTTATTGCCAAATAAAAATAAAAAATCTGTTTCTCTCTAATACCACTATTGCCGTTGGTGTTTCCCAGTGGGAGGTGTGCCAATGCCCCGCGTACAGAGGTCCTCATCCATCGACAGCACCGGCACACCCCCGGGCCGCACCCGCTCTATGTCCATGGAGGAGGCAGACATGCCGCGGGGCATCTACTCCATGAGCCCGCCCAAGTACGGCTCGCCCACACGCAGCGGGGCCGAAGTGCTCTCTACCAGCCCAGCCAAGAGCTAGACAGTCCCTCCCTCCACCCCCTACTCTGCATCAGGCCCCAGGAGGGTGTGGGCACAGCAGGAGTTGTGTCCTCACTCACACTGACACTTGCACATGGCTACCCACGTACACAGAGTCATAGACCACTACACATGCATATATGCATACGCATACACCGAAAGTGACATTTTCAAAGAATTTTGTCAGAACCTTAGGAGGCAGCTAGCAAGTCATCCATCTTGGAAGAGAAAGCTAAGAGACCTTGTTTGAAAGATAAGATTGAAGAACGAAAGACGGCACTCTCTCTAAGCAGACCTTTGCTTGTCTTGGTAGTTTCATTTACTTACAATGTAGTCAACTGTCCCTCTTACACACACGCTTTCCTTCAAACTTCAGTAGAAACAAGTCACACAAAGCTTTCAAGTTGTTGCATTGAATGAGAGTCATTGTTTGAAGTTGAATTTTAGAGGAAAAGAGGAGGTTCAGCATGTGCACGTATTCACAAAACACAAAAACAATAGATCTCCAGTCCCCGCTGACTTCAAATGCTATCATATAATACGTTGTCGTAATTCTGAATCATTTTTTTACACTTTTTACAAAAGTTTGAGCCTCCTGATGATATGACATGGTGTCATCTTCAAGTTTATTTATGTACCATTGTAAAGAATTTCTTTTTACGCATGCATCTAAGAAACTTATTTTGTGAAGGAATTAATTTAAATACTGGAGAGAAAAGGCTGTCAAACAGGCACAATTCTGGTATTGGATTTGGTTTTGTTTTCACACTTGACCAAACGGCAATGAACAGATAAGTACTTTTGTCATCTGTTCCAACTGCTTAATTGAAATTTACAAAATGAATGTGAAACATTTCACTTTTTAAAAACCTGACCCAACTAATACTGACCTGTGACTGTACTGATCACATGTAATAGTTAACCCTTTAATAATGCATATAGCCGTCTGTTTTGAGGTGGAGAAAAAAATAGAAATTCTTATGAACTAATTGTATTATTGTTGAGAAAATACATTGGTTATTTTTTTTTACCAAAGTATCTGTAAGCAACTTGGGGAAGTTTGAAAAACAATTTTACTGTTCCATGCTTCATTTTTTATGCAACACACAGATAATACTTTGTCACTGTTTTGGACCAGGAGTGTATACTGTTTTCTTGGAAAACAAGAATGTTTGTTAAACTGGACAATGGAAAATGTTCAGTTCATGAGCTTCATTGTTCATTATTGACTTATGTGTAGTGGGTTGCCATTTTACTTTTGTATTGCATTATAGGACAATATACTATGCACTTCGTATGGTTCTCAAGAAGAAAATGTAATGAGTAAGATCATTTGTTGTGCTTTCAACAAAATTAAGTCGCATGCCAAAAGCTCTTTGTCAGGTAATTTGTGTGCTGGGTTGTAACTGCAAGTTTTTTAAAGACACTTTTTATGGTTTTGCTCAATACAAGTGATGTTGAGGAAGCAGATTTTGATAATTCTGTACTTAACATTGGTGCAGTCTGGAATATATTTGTCTGCTTACACTTTATGTAAAATTATGGAATGAACTCTTTTCCTCTTAAATTAATCTTATAGCTACTGTTGATGTTTCTGTGTAAATACGGTCATCACTGATCAACAGTCTTTGAGATGTAAGTTGTTGATGAGATTTTACCTCATCTGTTGCATTTTGACAAGTGACTTGATTTGGCTGGCCGCACAACAGTATATTTTGTGTTTCAACTGTCATCATTGATAACAAATAGCTGTGTGTGCTAGTAAGCAATTTTGTGTAGTTCTGTATTGTACCATTGCTCTTCACTGACTGTGTCTTAGGCAAAGTCGTGTTCTCTCTATTGATATATATGGTAACGTATGATCTTGTGCCCATCCATGCTCTTGTTCATCCATCCTGAGTACCCGGTTTCCAAATGTCAAGTCACTCCTTTCTGAAGATTTCCCCCAGTCTGTCAACCTGACCCTCTTTGGGAGCAGGTGATGTGCTCTGTACAGCTTTGGCTATGACAGACACTTACTGTTCTGAGCCTACCTCCTTTGTTGTGAGTTGGATGATGTAATGTGATGAAAGTATTCTGTGGTGTGGCTGCCTTTTAGGCTATGTCATGTCTACTGCATGAAACTTTGCTATGGAAAATTGCGTTTTTTTGAAATGTTGAGAAAAGGCTGAGTTGCTCGTTTCTAGAGGTCAGTATGTCTGAAACTTTGAAGAGAAGGTTAAAATTAATATCATTTTTTCTCCTTGCTGAAAATGATAACAAAGTGTTGAATGAATCATATTGTTTGCACAGATATTTCTTTAGGAGTATTACCTTCGGCCTTGTGTCTTGTCATTCTACAGATTCCTGGAGTACTGTGCACTCAATAATTCTTCTTCATGCATGTTGCAGCTTAAAATCATAATTTTAAAGTAAATCTAGCTCATTCGATACATCCTCACTTGTAGTGCATGAGTATGTAGTGTGTAATTGAAAAACCATTTGCCTCTGATTATTTTACTTAGATTATAACAAGCAATTAGATCCTGATCTAATAATCTCCTGTAACCTGGATTTACCGAGGGACATAATTGCGCTTGAATGCTTGTAATCAGAATTTGCTGTGCACGTAGGCCGCAGCTTTGAGCTGAATCTTGCTTTTTAATGCCAAGCCGAAGACTGTCAAAAAATGCAGAATATATAATTCTTTGTAACAATAATCAAGACAATGGTTTTCCTTTTCCCTTCTTTAATTAGGAGCATAGTTTTTTGGGTTTTTTTGTCCTTATTTTTGTTTATCATCTGTTCATGCACATGTTTCATTGTCACACAGTAGTTTCCTGAGTGAGAAGTTGTTTGTCTTAGTTTTTGCTGTTGGCTTTGTTTTTTCGATGAACTGTAGTTATCTGCTCATACTTTTTGCACAAATTTCAGGCACACGATTATTTTTGTATTCCTATATTTCTGTTGTCATTGCTATTCACCTTCACTTCAGTTATGTTATTTGAGAATGTAATTAAGATTGGCAGTATTCAAGCTCAGTATACCCCAGGTTGGTGATAAATGCTGATAGTTTTTGTCATATTTTTAGTGGCCAGAGAGTTTTGATGAAATTATGTGACTTTATAAAAGTAATTAGTTTTTTCTTTATAGCAATTAATGGAATTGTGAATGTGATATTATGCTCAATGAGTTCCATATATGGCTTCGGTTCAGACCCTTGTGAGGTATTTCCCCCATCTAAATATTCCTGTGTAACAAATAGATGGTGGAAAGTAAATTCAGCACTCACCCGTGAGTCATCCCAATTCACGAATTACTGTCAACGTCAAGAGGCTCAGACTGTGCATGAAGACTTGAGGAGCTTTCTTTCGGAATTTTGTTTTGTCTTTAGCTGGATGGATTTTCCCACCTGAGTTTTACTACTAAGAAACTTGACTTCATAGAAAATAGTAGTTTTGCTTTTCTCCTTTTATTTCCAGCATTCTAAATATTGCATGTTCTAAAGAATAGGCAATATTCTGAAAATAAAAGATAAATCCTGAATATTATTTTCAAGTTTTATTTTCCGCTTCAGAAGGACTCATTGAGGTCTCTTGACACAGAGCTGTGCTGAGACACTCTAGCTCTATAGACTGGTCGTTGTGTGTCGGAGAGTCATATTTGTGTTTATTATAAGCTTTCCCTTTTATGCTGATTTTTCTGTCCCAAGGTAAAAAGAAAAGTTTTGTCATCTTTTCTACTTTATATGAGGGCGAAGTAGTTCTGTAGTGTGGTCAGATTTATTGCAAGTCTGTAGGAGCTGTAAGCTGTGGTGTTCACCACCTGTGCTTGTACTTTCAGCATCTCGCAGAAAATCAACCACTGTATTATTTCTGCTTGTGTTTTGTTTCCTTTCTCTTTGGTGTACTTTTTAAGTTGTTGGTTGTGTTTGGTAGTAGATCACTGTCCTTTTGACTTGAATGGTGACATGCATAATATTTGTTCAGATTTTTTATTTGGGAGGACATACCCATTACTTTTATTTACTGCAGAAGTTTATTATTTACTCAAATTATATTAAAATGGAGTTCAATGGCACAACAAAGTGGGCATTTGGCAAATGTTGCATATATATAAATCATATTTGAGCTGTGCCCCATTAACATATAGAGCATTATCAGCCAGTATCATTACGTATCCCTTCATGTGACTTTTTCACTCATACTGATGTAGAGAAATCAGACTTACTGCTAGTCGTTAGTGACACAGATCTGCATTTATATCGTATTTTTCCTTTTCCTTTGTCAGGTTTTTGACATGTTTTGAGTGAGGTGTAATCACCAAGTTGTATGAATATAGCAGTGGATAATAGGTCAAAAGATTATAGATATGTTTTAAAGGCCAAATGTGATTATTATAGGCTTGAAGTGCCTCTCTTCTTACTTTCATGAAATGAGGAATCAACTTTCAAGTCCTTCCAAGAATTTTTGTGTAATCTTTGAGCCGTGTTGCCCTGGGCCTACGGAACCTGTGCACCTGATCTCCTGTGTGTCGACTGCTTGGTTTAAAACTGCAGCACACTGAGCCTCGCCTTTGGTGCACATAAGGGCACAGGTAACAGGTAATCTTGCTCAGGCGTTCATTCGGGTCCTTCGGGTCCTTCGGGATATAACAGCTTAATACTAGTACGTTTTTTATGTTCTGTTTTTTTTAATTAAAACATTATGTATGATTCCACTTTGTCCCCATTGTACTGCATTAGATTGGAATGAATGTGACAGGTGCGCGCACTGCCTCCTGATTCAGTTCTTTACATTTCCTCAATAAAGTCATGTACATGTCATTAACTGCTTCAGTTTCTGTCCGTTCTTTTGTAACTATGGTCAGTGTAGGCTACAGTAGGACAATCATATGTGTCATGACGCAGTAAAATCAGACACTTGTCAATTTTTGGACTTGGGGAGGTATTTGTATCATTTTTTTAAAGCTCTTTTATTTGTCTGGCTTTCAATTTTCAAAGGAAAAAATACTCATCTATCTTGAATAGTAGTCAAGATATTTGTGTTCGAAGTAGGTGGGGGTCACCTGGTATCAAAAGGAAAATTAGCCAAAAAAATGACCACCAAAGTTTGGTGACTTTCATAGCTTGAGAGTCCTTGAAAACTGAAAATTTACATTTTTTGTGCCTTCAATCAAAGTTTTTTAGAAAGAAAAAAACCGGAAAGAGATGTTTTTTTAAATGGACATAAAATATGTTGAGCCAAAAAACAAAATTTTGATAAAAATTGCCAAACTGGCACAAAAATGGCAGTTACTTCAATTTCATTATTTTGACAAGCTCCTGATTCCACCACAATGCCTCACATATTATGTTATACGCTCAGCAGGTACAGTCTGCCTTTTTGCTTTGAGATTGGTGTGAATTACGCTCTCTCATAATTCGTGAAAAGATGTTAGGTTACCATCTGCTGAAGTTTGGGTGCTGTGTTGCTTTGATTTATCTCTGTAATTTAAATGAACTGGGTTGTTTCTGGAAACAGTGTTTTTAAAAAAGAGGACCCATTTAACTCCTTTGTGACCTATATGACGTACGCTGTTCGTCATTTTTTGTTATATAATGAAGGTGCCAAGATGCTGCTGTGACATTCGGCTTTGATCTTGCCTTACGAAGCCGTTTGTCAGAGGCTGTAGTGTGCATACTGCTTCTATTAGATACATTACATAAAACTAATCGCAATTTAACATTCAGATATATTTTTTCCGTACCGCGAAATCTTTTCCTTTTCATCATCATTGCCTTTCTCACCCTGCACCAGGGTATAGGCCAGGGACAAACACTCTCCTCTATCCTGGGCTAGCCTCTTGATGTTATCCCATGTCTTCCCTTTTTTCTGTATATATCAATTTCTGTGATTCTTCTCCAGGTTCCACACGGTCTTGCCCTTGATCTTTTACCCTGTGGATTCCAATCCAATCCCAAGCTTTTTCTCTAGAGATAGTAATATTTATAAACCAGGTCTAGTTATAGGCCACTGACCACTAAATCTAGCTCTACTGTTTACCGTGGTGGTAAAAAAACTGTTCCCAGTGAAGCACAAACTGACCCTTTGTCACGAGAGGGTTAAAGGGCAATAGCTTGGTCATATTTACACCAATTTCTACAAAACTCTGAACAAATAAAATTCAAGGAAGGGGACCTCAAATTTGTCATTATGAAGAAAATCCAATACGCTTGTTCGAGAAATTTCAAGTTTTAAAATTTTAACCAAAAGCATTTAGAGACAAGGTCATGATGATTGGACCTTCTGATTTTCGAATAAGGATGGTAAAACCATCAGTCCCTTCAGATGGATATATCTCACCATGCTGAGAAAGTTTAGGAGAAATTTGGGGAGGAGACTGAGAGTGCTAAGCTGTTGAGGAGGTCAGATTCTAGTAGGATGGAACCACCCACTACACATCAAGAGTGACCCTTGTGTGGTTCAAGAAAGGTTTGGGAAATGACTTACAAGAGGAAAGCTTACTTGAATGGTCACAGCATTCTATTGACTTTAACCCACTCAATCATTTCCTTTGGCTTTTTTTTTCCGACAGGGTCTATGAAAACAACCCTCAGACAATCCAACAGTTGAAACTTAATATTGAACACGATGTCTAAAGAAACAACCCAGAAACATGCTACTACTGTTATTCAAAATTTCCAGTGACAGATTCGAGCTGGTCAGAAGAGAAATGGTCAACACCAGGAGCACACAACTTAAATAGGCACCACCTTCCCTGAGTTTTTTTGGCAGTGTCAATTTTATATATATATAAACCTAAATTTGTTCTTCAATACAAAAATATACAATCGGTTAATTTTTTTAAGAAGTTGCCCTCAATGTTGGCTGAAATTTAAAAAAACTTAATATTCTTTTAACACGAGGATTGATTTTCTTTTTACTGTTAAATGTGACGTCCTCCTGGTTGAATTTTATATTTTCGAAGTTTTGTTGAAACTGGTGGAAAGACGACCGAATCATTGCTCTTTAAGGGTTGTTGTTACTTCGAAGGGTCTTATATCTTATCCTTTTCCACTTTTGGCGACATTGTTCTCTAACTTCCACAATTTGAATCTAGCAGTTATTAACATTAATAGTAATAGCCAGCACAAATAGTCAAACCTGTTGACAATAGGACAGAGTTACAATCAAACAACAACAAAATAATTACATAAGCATGCGAAGTGCGAGTAACTAGTTTTGAAATACAGATTTTTTTTTCTCTGCTAAAAATGAGTTACAATGTACTGGCACCCGACACATTATCTTCACGTACACACATATGGGCGTTAACACAAACAAATGTACACACATGCACGCACAAAACACACACACACACGCACACACACACACACACACACTCTCTCTCTCTCTTTTTCTCTCCCCCCCCCTCTCTCTCTCTCTCTCTCTCTCTCTCCCCCTCTCCCTCTCTCGCACATACAAACAAACACACACGCACACACGCCACCATGTATTACTTTTATGTAAAATGGTGTTTCTTACACTCGTACTGTGATTATATTCTAAGTCTATGTAAGCCAATTTCTTACACACTGTCGGCATCAACTTCATGTTGCAACACAGGGGGAAAAGTATTTATCTAAGTGTCTCTGCTTGGTGTGTTTACTGAAAGAGAGTTGGACATAAATCTGAAGCTGAATGCAAACGCATAAAAAGAAGAATATAATACATTGGAAATGCTTCCCGCGGCCGCGTTATTCTGCAGACAAAGCCAACCCTTGTTCCCACTCCTAGCTGTGCACCTGATCTCCTGTGTG